AGCCCCTTGATTAGGTTGGCTATTCTGAGGCGCGGCTGCCTGCTGCTGCTGCTGTTCTCCTCCTTGGCTTGAAGCATTTGCGCACCCTCCTATGGATTGAGGCATGCACCCTCCTGTAAATTGTCCCTGCTGGGCGAAATATGGCCATGAAATACAGGGATTGAATCCTGGTCAGGCGGTGGGGAAAACTCCTGACCATTGTGGTGACGAAGCCTGTGCTTGCGGCGAAACTCCTACTGCACTTACTTGATTAGCATTCGCCTGAGCCGGCGTCGAAGTTTGTAATCCTTTTCCTGTCCCTTGACCGCCCACGGCCTGGTTCCTAGCCTTTCGCTGACTTTTCGTCAGCTTCACCGGCTCCTCTTCTTCCTCCTCCTCATCCTCTTCTTCCACCTGCTCCACTGTTTTTCCTTTCTTCGTCGTCTTTGCCGCCGGCTGAGTGACCACTATCACCTGCTTTCCTACCGCTTTTTGCTGGGTAGCCTGATACTGCGCTATCCCATCTGCAATAAGTTGCTGGAGATTAATTCCAGTTGTTTCAGCGGCAACCCTAACCTTCCGCTTCTGGCGTTGCTGTTTCTTTTGAAACTGGTATACTTGATCTAGCTCCCCATCAGCCAGACTTTGTTTGATGGTCTTCCGAGTTAGCTTTCGCCCCACACCTCCCTTCCTGGTGAGCGATACCCCTTCGCACTCAGTGAAACTGCTTAGGAATATCGCGCACTGGGTCTCTTCTGCCAGTCCTGGGACTTTCCTCGCCATTTTCTCAAAAGCGGTTGCAAAGGCTCCTATTATCGTGAAGTCTAACCGCTCCAACCTTTCCAGGTCCTCCACCGTGAGGAGTCCATCCCCCAACTGGTACCGCCTTTGCATTTCAACCTTGAAATTAGCCCAGTTGTCATTGGCCTCACTGACCACGCGCATCACCTCTGGCCGCATCTCCCACCAAACGTACTTCGGTACCTGACGAAACTTTTCCGCGTCAGGCATTTCGTCAGTGATCTGTTCAAGCAATTTCAACCATTCTGACACTTTATCTCCTTTGAAATGAAAAATTTGGACCTTAGGGATGTTGGACAGTTTTACCTCCCAACCTTCCAACAATGTCACCAGCTGTCCAACCGTAATTGGCTGCTGAACCATCGAACTTTCATCCTTAACACTTTTAACCACCTCGTCCACCATCTTCTTTGCCTTTCGATCGCCTTCCTGCCAACACAACCACAAGTATACAGATTCAAACCAAATCACCCTTTCCTATCCTATCTGTTTCTTACCTACAATGTCTATTTACACAGGAAGGGTCTAAGCAGAACTGGGTTTCCGCAGGTCCTACCTCGCATTTACCTCGTACCGAACGTGGTTCCACCAATCCAGTCCATCATCTAGCCCATAAAGGGAAAGGTAGTTTATGACATCCTGTACCACCCTCACCGACTCACTTTCCTTAAGCGTAGATCCTAGCTCCAGGTATAGGCTGTAAACCACCTCACAAGCGTACCTTTCATACCCCAAACTTCGCAGGATCATCGCGACTCCCGCTGCCCTTCCTGACTTCCAAATTTGACTTCCACTATGTCGTTAGGGATCACAGCCCTCAAAGGTATCATGGGTAGCATGAAGTCCTTGCTATCTCGGAATCCCACACATACATACACCACCTCATCCCCTGCGTAGGGCATATCCGTTGTCCACTTTAGTACGGCAGCCTCAGCCAACCCTAGTCATTTGGCCAGTGTTTTCTTGTTTCCCATAGCCAACTCAGTCCCAAGCATGGTCCAGAAGAAAGGCGCTACGTAGAGGAGTACTTTCACTATCACATCCTCATCTTCCCCAATCAGGCTAGATTCTATCCAGGCGAACACATCCTTATCCACCTTTTTACCCCACCATGAATACGCATCTTCCCCAATCCTAAATCTTTGTGGCAGAGTCATCTCCAATCCTCCCTCTTTCCGGACTGGCAAAGCCACACAAGGATCACTTCGGGCATGCGCCATCCTTGCCAATCTCTGACTTTCCTTCGAATTTCCTGCCCAAGCATCAATCAGTAGTCAGACCTTTATGATGAGGTTTTTATCTTTATCAAGGGTCATCTTGTAAACCTCCCCAAATTCATCCAATCTAAAGGGAAGGACAAAATGAGTTTGCAAAATCCAATCCCCAGATAATACACAAAAATCATGTATGCATATATGCGCGATCTTTCTATTCCTATCTCGAGACATATCCCATATCCATATGACCTGACTCTCACATCCAATCCCATTTACTTAACAAAAAGACAACTTTTATGTTACTCGGCGTTCTATGCTAATAAAGGCTCATAGTGCCTTAACCTGATCAAGTTTAAGTTTTTTCTTCAATAAGGCAGTAAAGCCTCTTACTTAACTTCCCATACCAGGGGTTAATCACTCAACCCTCAAATATTCTGCACCAGAAATCAAAATGTCAAATAAAATTTTCGTCTTGCCTGGGATCATCGGCCCACCAAAATCATTAACCAGGGTTCGTTCACTTTGGACCTCGGTAGGCAGCCGAGATTCCCCGACACGGCGCCACCTGTCGTGCGCATCGATCCAGCGCGAACGGGACCCTCACGGCCTTTGTCACGCAGGATTAGGCGGGGCTTGACGGATGCGCGGAAACAAACGCGCGCCCTGGTGCCGCTCTAGCCGAGTGCGCCAACCATACCTCTCGCGCGCTCCTGCGACAGGACAGAGGTTGCGCGAGGCATAACTTACCTCCACCCGTTGGGAGTTGTCACCATCCCGTGGGTGGGCGTATCCCTGCCGAGCTACTGACCCACGTGCGAGAGCTCTTATGATGCAGTCGCAGAGGTAGGCCAACCGAGGGCGTTATCTCGTTCGCTGTAGCATAGGGGCACGCGCAGCTAACGCCTGGATCGAACCGTTACGCAGACCCTCGTCATAGGCTCGCTGAGTTCCTAAACGGGGTCATACGTCGGTCGACTAGGACGATTAGGTGACCACGCGGTAGTCCTCCGCTCGAAGAAAACTTGATAAACTTAATTGGATCATCGCCTAGTCCCTTGACGGAACTACCCATAATTTTTCCCATCCTGTTCTTCACAGTATCTGATCAAGTACTCAATATAAATACCATGGAAGGAACCGATTTAATCATATCGAAGCCACGAAGCTTGAAAACACCCCCCCTCCTTTTTCCGTAATGGTGTTTTACGGAGTAATCATAACCGCACACTTCTCGATGGAATCGAGGAGTGCGTTAGACACTCAGGTGTTGGCTTGCTTGCTCCCCAAAGAGTTAGCCTTCCAATATTGAAGGCGACCACTAAGAGTGATCACCGACCCTCAAGCCTCTCGCGTCTCGCGTGTAGGGCTAAGAAGAGAGTCTGTCGCGAGGGAGAGCTTACACAACAGATGACGGTGTTCTCTTACCCCTCGCGGACTATCCATTCCAGCTTTCAACCACGATAAGGATAAGCGTAACGATCACGTGATGGTTCAGAAGACCATCACTCAGAGAGAGAAGGACATTCCTTAGTATTTTTCTTGACCATCTCTCTCACACAATTGCTAAGTCCGTTTTCAAGGTCAACATCAGGAATCCAAGGTGCAGATCGGGGGTTTAGAGGGGAATAGAAAGACTCTCGAGGGAAGCCAGGGTAAGTCATTCTCACAGTCCCGAGTTGATTCTTGCCACCCGCCTTAAGCACATCATTCCAAAGCATTATTATTCGAGGAGCGGTTCCTTGCTCCCGATACCAACCTGCATCCACGCAAAATCCCATTGAAATTCGTACACAAAGTACCACTAACGTGGTCAACCCTTTGTCTCCCAATTCATATCCCACATGCCCCTTCCACCGACCCCCTCTTTTAACAATGGCACACCCCCACTTTCTATTCAGCTTTCTCAACTTTTTTCATGGCCATTTCAAGGAGATGGGTAAGAGGGATAGAAAGGTTCTCATTTTGAGGGAATGTCATTATAGCAGGGGGGGGGGGGGATTCCGAGCATCATGACATGGGTATCACGATGGGTATGGCTGAGTCGTAAATCGATCAGTTTGATTGACCAACTGACCTGCTATTCAGTGATAGCAGAAAATTGATGAAGCTTATCACACCTAATCTCCCTTAGGTAGCTATAACCTGCGTCACAAATAACGTGGCCACCATCTGTCGCATTACCGGAGAAGAATTCCGTATCGCACTTCCTCTAGCTATATCGCCCAGTAACGATGTAAAAATAGCAAAACTTTGGACAACAACTCCCCCAAAGGGGTAGGCCCACAGAAAATATACAAATCCAAATCTAAACAAACTCTTGACCTAAAAGCTACTTAACCTCGACTTCCTTGGGTTTAGTAGAAATTTCGGCAGCACTTCCATTAGTAAGGAAGACTTTCAAAAATCTCTACTAATCCCAAAGATAGTCCTAAGTCTAACCTCAAAAGACTCACAGGTTTTGACTGACTTCGTAAATTTAGCAGAAATTTCGGCAGCATTCTCCCTTAAGGAAGGAGGCTCCCAGAATTCCTACTAATCCAACAGTCAGCCAATCCTTCAGCGAGTGACCACTAAAGACCTCAAACAAGACCAGACATATGTGACTTCCTGTCTGTCGCTCAAGCATAAGCGAGCTCTAACAAGCTAAACTATCAAAATGACAAAGCAAAGGAATTCACCAAACAGTAACAATCACTGAAGCGAGACTCAAATTCAAAAGAAGATTTATTTCTCCTTTCTGCTTCTATCATGTGCAATGTCTCGTATCTTATTTGCTTAATTTTATTTCTCCAACTCCAATCCTATTATACATATAGTTCCTTTTATGTCCATTTTTCTTCCAAGGCCAAGCAAACGAGTTAAGCAAGGCGACCCGAGTCATGCCCAGGGTCCCAGTTTCAATGTCCAAGCAAACAACAAGGCGACCCGAGTCCTGCCTAGGGTTCCAGTTTCAACGTCCAGGCAAACAACAAGGCGACCCGAGTCCTGCCCAGGGTCCCAGTTTCAACGTCCAGGTAAACAACAAGGCGACCCGAGTCCTGCCCAGGGTCCCAGTTTCAACGTCCAGGTAAACAACAAGGCGACTCGAGTCCTGCCCAGGGTCCCAGTTTCAACGTCCAAGCAAACAACAAGGCAACCCGCATGATCAGAGCGACCTGACTAATCCCTTATGAAAACATTGTCAGGTCCTCCAAGCAATAAAAGTAAACAAAGCGCTGAGCGAGTCCCTTGTGGACACAATACCCAACATTTTTAAACCTAGACAATCGCAGGCAACCTGTTAGTCATGTTAATTTTCTTAGCCACACAAATCTGATTTGAGTCAAACAGTATAATAATATCTAAATTTAACCTGACTTTTCTCCTGAAATAAAACAAATAAAAGTCAAAATAGGGGTGCATGCATACGTAACAGTCAAACTAGTGAGTTGTACAGGTACGGGTAACAATACCGAGTATACAAAATGGTCAACGTAGTTACCTCAGTATTCCCCACCCCCAGAGTCAACTCCAAACTCCGGTGGAGCTCCCGCAAGTGGCGGGGGCAACCTCCCACCTAGGCCTTGATGCAGTCTGTGGGTTGCAATCTCACCAGCCGRAGCAGCTSCCGCAATYGTTCAGCAARCCGGATTCCTCCCTACTAGTCAAGCTAACTGGGTCATGTCGTTCCACCAGCCACGAACAACCATCCACCACCAAAGGATTGAAGACAAGGGTCATCCGGATTGCAATCATGCGTATTATGAACAACATCCGAGCTCAGGGACGGTGACAGCAACTACCATTTTCTCGAAGAGCAGCAGCAGTGCCTTGAAGGAAATCAGCAACCCGAGCAAGGAGACGGAACAGTAACCCAGGCTGTGGCCTAATCCACTGCAACCCCGGTAGCCCAATGTCCATGTAACTAACGTCACACCGGTCGCAGCAGTCAGCCTGCTGAAACAGCAATCCCAAACCAGCTGCAGCAGCAACAGTCTCAATGACAGCAACTCGGCCTTCAACAGTAGCAACACAAGGTCTTAGATATAGCAACCTCTGTATCTTGCTGAGCAGACAACATCTCAAACTACAGCAGCTACTACAGATACCCACTGACGCGCTCCTTGATACCTATACGATCTAAAAAAGAGTTCTCAATCTGTTAATTCTTGCTATGCTTGTTGGCCACGTATCATTACCCAACTTACCAGGTGAGGATACCTCCTAGTGCTGGTTTCCCTTTCAGTTTCTAGCTGGCCTCAATCTTCACACGCCCCCTGCCTACCTCTCTCTTTCTCTCTTGACTTCTTTTCCCTCCCTGTATCTGCTCCGGATCCCGATCAGATTCCAGTACCTCTCTCCTTTGATACAGCGGGACGACTTCGAACGAACACAACAATCAAACCCTTAATCTGACAACGGAGAGGACGAGGGAGCGACTGCAGAGTGGGCATCCGCAGTCAGAGGATGGAAGCCACTGTAATGGAGCAGGTGAAAAAACCTACGAGAAGAGCAGGGAGATCACTAAGGATTCGATGAAAATAGCCCCGACTTTAATCGGGCTTTGGCACGTACGGCCGTGAACACCAACTTAGAGAAGGAGGCTACAAATGAAAGGAGCACCACGCAGGGGCCGCTCATGAGCATGGGCCAGTATAACTGCAAGATGAGTATAGCATGACC